GCACGGCATCCTCTCGAAGATCTGACGAGCGTCTTCCAGGCTGCCGCAGCTGCTATACATCTTGATAAGCTGGTCACCCAAAAGAGCGTTGCTGCCAAACCCAGCCTCTACAAGATGAGCGTGGACGAGCTTTCCATGGGCCAAACTCTTGGAGCTGACACACTGCTGCAGTAGAGAGACGTAGCCGCTGACTCGGTTGATGCGTTGCTTTAAGGCGTCTTCGATTTCTCTCAACGCTGGCTTGATCATATCATCCTGATAAAAGATGCCATCAACTCAGTCATGGTATAGTACCTTTGTGAAAAAACCTGTGTTGTCTTCCTGTCTGTTTCTCAAAACAGGTTGATGCCAAAAATCTCTCCAGCCAAAATCGAGAGCCCAACTGCGATAGCTATCAGCGACGAGCCCAGTGACAGTCTCTGAGTTATCCACGGGACCCTCTTCTGCAAGGCCTCGCTACACGAACCAACGAAAGCGGTGTAGCTAGCCATCGCCACCACCGTCCCCAGCAAGAACATGAAAAGAAAAGCCACACCTGCTAGTCGAGAAGGCAATGCCAGCGCTGGAAGAATGACGAGCAAAGCGTCCGGCTGGAGGCCATGGACTACTCCCGTCCCAAAAGTTGCAAATCCAAAAGGCTTTTTCCGCTCCTGAACTCCGCCACTGTCTTCGTAGTCTGCTTCACAGCCCTCCCCTGCGAGGCAAGGGATCGGAACTTCCTGTGCCTCTTTAATTCCCACCGCGCCGATTACGAGAAGAGTGACACCGACAACTCGAGCGCTCCATGTTCTCAAGAGGTCAATCTGTAGCTTCTCTTTGAGCACCAGGAACAGCAACCCGAAGAGGATCTGGCCAGCGTCATGACCGCAACCCCACAGCGCTCCCACAAAAGCACCTTCCATCTTCGTGCGACCGATTGAGAGAGGTGCCAAAGCAGCAAGGTGGTCGGGTCCTGTGAGAGTGTGTAGACATCCGGCCATGAGTCCCGTCCATGCGCTCGTAAGAAGCTCGGGAACACGAAGTCCTTTGGCTGTAGAGCTAGCAGCGGAGAGTGTGATGGTGGAAGCTAGCGCAGGGGCAGCTCTCAAAAGGATGACTGGCAAAACAACCGGAAGAACCTTCGTGATCTACCAAGGCAAAGAGAACGAAATCAAAACAAAATATATCCATCGTACTACATGATCTTACCAGCTTTAAGACGCAAAATTTCTGGTCGATGTGCTCGTTCTTACAGTGATTGTTGCTGACTTGTCCAGGAAGAACAGCTCTTGCAGCATGCCGACTCACCGACCATGGCGAAAGTTTTGGCCGTAGCCTCAGTGCCTCCAAAGATCGAGGAAAACGCCTTTGAGTTCTAGAAATTCGCTGAGACAAGACTGGAAAAGCCCTGATGTGTTCTCCAGGGAGAAAAGTACGAGGATCGCTGAGACAAGGCCGACAAATCTGTGCCATACTTGAGAGAAATCTGGCGCTGAGGAAGCAGCTGGTAGCGAACCTAGGAAATCCTCACCTGGGGACCTCAAAAAGCTCAGATTCAGATCGAAATTCCCTGGAACGAAGCAATGTGAGCATGAAATCCGAGCGCGATGCGCAAAAAAAGGAGAAAAAATACCTTGACGCTACGGGGAGCATTCCAAGCTAGCGATGAACCCTAAAAACAACCACTACTAACACACGCGTGAAGGAGAGAAGAGGAGGTCAAATTGTTCCTCCTCTCGCAAAAAGCGCATCAAAACCGTTCTTCAGAAAAACGTGGCAGCACATCGTGCCGTCCACGTGGGATGCACTTTACGATAGGGGTCATGGATCGCGCAACCGTCGATCCAGATACGTTACGGTGCCAACGGTGTGGATAAATTAGTATAAGTATATGTACATCAATCGGAGCCGTCCGATTTCATAGTGCTAACTGGACGGCTCAGATGCGTCAGCCTTGATCTTTGCTTGAGCTCTCGACTTCTTCGCCGACGAGAACGTCGGCGTACGCTAGCTGTGTCAATAGAAGTGTGAGGATGATTCCATACGAGGCGAGTTTCCATGGACGCATTAAGGTTCCTGTTAGGAGGCCTGGAAGTTCCACCAAAGTTCTTGTCAATTGGATCGATTGAGAGAAGGAAAGAAAACTCACCAGAGCCAGAACTGTAAACAAACGAGGCCAGGACCAGGGAGATTCCTCCGGACAAAAACTGCTTGTAACTTGCGCTAAAGTTTCCCGATGGTGAGCTAACTACCAAATCCTGGAGAACAAAAGCAGTCAAGAACTGTGAAGTTCACGAAGAGAATCTTGCGAACCTTTCTAGATGCCTTGGATCTATCCGGAGCAGTGTACAAATTCTTGAAGAACAGCCCCTCGTTTCGGAGATGAGCAGACCAGCGCTGATACTCGTCAATGGATTTGGATTGAGCCTATGTCGAAAGAAAAAAGACATAAGAACAGTGAAAACTTCTACAGTTCTTTACGTACCTCAAGATCGGCACGAGCCATTCGAAGTTCCTCTTCGATTGCACCAGCACCAGCATCAAGCTCCCTAAGCACCTGACGCAAGAAGAAAAAACGAAGAAATCTTGATGAGAACCAAAAAACCCAAGGACAAAAAAAAACGAAGAATACATACCCGGCTTCCAGCGGCATCGAGCTCTTTCATCGCACGAAACGCAATTCGAGCATGGTCGTGACGATAGTCTTGCGCAATAGTTTTCATGTACTGCGACCTTTCCTCCACAAATTCCGACATCTTCACCTTGCTTACTTGCATCTGGATCATCTCCACCAGCGCTCTTTGGACCTGGACATCGCCTCCCATTCCATTCCCATCTGAATCGCCATCCCTGGCGCTACATTGGACCATCAGCCTGCTCGTCCTGGATCGGCCGCGGCCAGGGTTGATCACAAACAAATCTAGCGCCGGCGCCCTGTATCCCTCTACCTTGAGCAACATCTCGCCACTAGAATCAAACTGAAAAGCGCTAGAATCGCAATGGATCTGTACCACGTCGCGCTCCCGAGCTCCAGGAACCCTAGGCGAGAAGCACGCTTGACACGCAATGCCTCTCTCTTGCGTGTAACAACGACGCTCACAAGCCAAGAAAAGAGGTCCCACCGAGATTCGAACTCGGGCTCTTGGATTCAAAGTCCAATGTCGTAACCACTAGACTATGGGACCATTATTTACTAAAAATCACTTCGTATTAGTCCAAACCAAATTCTCTCAAACAAAATACACTCAATCCCAGTATTGGGTTGCCGCAGTAAAACCATATCAAGGAGAAGAAAAAATAAGTAAAGAAGCTATGCTGGGAAACTGGAAGACGAGGATCCCATTTGCACCTTACCACCGTTTGCAAACGTTTCTTTCTCGGCATTTTTCTTCCTCTTGAAGTAGATGATCCAAGTGAGGATTTCCAGAATGAAGCTCACGATGGCCGCCAGCACCACGAAGCCAGTGTAGGCGTTGTGCCACCGTCGCTTGGGCTGGAGGATCTCCAAACCTTTGTAGATGTTTGTGAAGATGAGGATGAGCATGAGGTAGCCGATGGAGTGATGGTAAGCGTTCCAGTAGAGCCTGAGCTTGTGCTCCTTGTTTGGACGAAACGCTACTCCAAAAACCTGGGAAGGAAGTCGCAAGCTCGTAGACTCGTAGTATATCAGCAAAGTTCTTACCTGTAGACAGGCGAAACTAAAGATTGCAATGCCAATGTTTCGATGAACATCATGGACGATCCCTTTGGAGTAACTTCCAAGCCTCAATCCAATGAGCCAGCCAATGGATCCCAGCAGCAAGCCAAGGCTTTGCAGAGATATGTGGACGTAGAACCAAACTTTCTCGGAGAAGGGCCTGGCATAGCGAGCAGTCATCATTCCAAGCGGGAGAAAAATCCCCCATCCAACTGCATTGAGAGCTCCATGGCTCTGGAAGAACAAAGGAAGAACACCAAGCGTAAGAAGAAAGCGAGAGAGCAAAAGAGCTAACCTGCTTGAGACTTTGATGAGGAGGCTCGGTGTCTATCACGGATCTGGTGCTCAGATCGATGACACCAACACCACTGCGATCTTCCGGAGAGAGTCCATGCTGGAGCGGCGAAACTCCAATCGTCTTGGAGCCTCGGTTCCACACATGGTTGATCTTAGTCTGGTTTGGCCGGAGCTGGATGGTGGCAAAGATGGTCACAGTGGTGCCAGTGATCTCCACAGCCTTGTCGAGCACCGAGACATCCAGAGTTCCTGGAGTGAGCTGAGCTCCGGCTTGAATATCAGTGGTGAGCTTGTAAGTGTCGACATAGCTCCTGTCTTGGGTCCTAAAGCCGATCAAGGCATTGGTCCCAACCATCACTGGCCTGCTGCCCAGATTGATCCCCCAGCCCACCCATCCCATGGGGCTCGCGGCTTGTCCCAAGAACGCGACCTTGAGCGTGCTATCGGCTGGATCGTAAGTCCAGGCCAGCGCCGCCGGGCCTGTGAGAGTGTTGCAAGCACCGAAATACCTGGTCTGGCCCTTGTATGTGAACGGCGACGTGCAATCCAGCGCCGCCTCCGCCGCGCGCGCGACGAGGATGGAGAGGGCGAGCAGCAGCAGCGCGCGCCTGGGGATCCACATTGCTTCTTGGGAGATCCCGGAAGCTCCAATCCGGCGGGAAGGAGAGAATCCTTGGCAGGACTCGATAAACCCTAGCCTGGCGAGAGCTGCGCCAAACCCTCTGTGGCTCCACGTCTGATGTGCAGGACCACTGCCGCGATCGCCACCGTCCGTCCAGGAGCGTGTAGGATCAAAGTAACTATTTCGCGCCATTGCGTTTTTTGCTGACTAAACAGTGTTGACTAACTCACTTGTAAGAATTCTAGGGCCACCCTGTCCTGACTATATGACTTATTCCAAAGTTTTGTGATGAAAATTATGGTCAATTCAAGCATGCAAGAACTTAGATATATAAGTATAACGCGAGCTCTTGATCCAAACAACACGGTGAAGACACACAATTCAGAGCTTCTAGATTTCTACTTGATGGAGTTAGCACTCTCTAGTTTCGCGCTTCCTTTTCTTTTGCTAGTGCTCACCGGAGCTCTTAGCATTCTGGTCACTTTGTGGGATAAGAAGAAGAATTTGCCCCCATCTCCAGGATGGGCACTTCCATTGATCGGCCACCTTCATCTCATTACGAAGCAGCCACATCGATCTTTGCAAGCACTCTCCAAAAAGTATGGGCCAATTATGTTCTTGAAGCTTGGGATGATCCCAAGCATCATTGTCTCCAGCCCAGAGATGGCGAAAGAAGCTCTCATGAACAATGGCTTGGCATTTGCTTCGAGGCCATATCTCTTGATCTCCGAGATTATTGGGTATGATTTCCAAAGCATTGGGATACACTACAGCGAGCATTCAAGGAGGCTGCGTAAGATGTGTGTGACTGAACTTATTGCTCCCCAGAAACTGGAATCCTCCTTGTGGGTGAGGTTCCAAGAACTCTCGAGAGCGTTTCGTATCTTGCGAAAGTCTAACGAGGAAAAAGTAGCTGTTGACATGAGATATCTCTTCTCAACTTTCACATTCAACGCCTTCACAATGATCCTGATGAGCAAGAGATACTTTGGGGACACCACTGATGACAATGATCAACACAGGGAGATTAAACATGTTATTAATGAAATCTTCAGCCTGGCAATCAAGTTCCACATCACCGAATTTGTTCCATCGTACCTCAGGTGCTTTTTAGAATGGCTCGATCCGACCATCCCTCAGTTCAAGAGATTGCACGAGAGGCAAGACAAGTTCATGAAGAAGATCATCAAAGAACACAAAGAGCCAACCGCTCGTCCCAAAGACTTCATGGACGCACTGCTCGAGAGTTTCAGCGCAGAAGACACAGTAAAAGCGTTTATAACAGTAAGTTCACTCCACATATAAACTTATTCCTTATACCATCGTGGTTGACAGGAATTGTTGCTAGCATCTGATTCAACGGCCGTGGCTGCTGAATGGGTGATGGCACAACTTCTTCACAATCCTCATGTTTTGGAGAAAGCTCAACTCGAGCTCAACCTTGTCGTGGGTCCAAATCGCCTGGTTCAAGAGTCTGATTTCTCAAAGCTGGAGTACCTTCAAGCAATCATCAAGGAAACCTTGAGGCTTTGTCCTCCAGGTCCACTCCTCATTCCTCGCAGCTCTGACGAAGCTTGCACGATTGGTGGCTACTACGTTCCCAAAGGCTCAACACTCTTTGTCAATGCTTTCGCCATTGGACGCGATCCAAGTATCTGGGAAAGCCCCACAGAGTTCATGCCCGAGAGATTCCTTGGGAGATCAGTGGATTTCAAGGGCCAGCACTTTGATCTCATACCATTTGGATCGGGGCGGCGGATGTGTCCTGGAATGCCACTCGCATTAAAAGCGCTTGAGCTGCTCTTGGCTAACCTTGTCCATGGATTTGATTGGAGCTTCCCTCCCGGAGAGATCCAAACTCTTGAGGATTGCTTTGAGACGACGCTGCTGCTCAAGTCTCCTCTAAAACTCCTGGCAGTTCCAAGACATTCAGCGTCTGTGTATGCTGAAATCTGAAATCTGAACTGATACTGTTAAATAACGTGGACGTTCTTAGCTCTGTTTAGCTCCTTCATCTCTCAAAGGCTCCGTCAGGACTCTTTGCGCAAGCAAGCTTCCACATCTAGTGTGCTGTTCGCCACTATTACCACGGAAAGCCTTCAGCAGCAGCTTGCTTTCAAGGCTTCCAAAGGTATTCAGAAGTGCAAGTTTACTTGCTGTCTGGAAAGAGATGAGGTCGCGAATAGCGCATTGCATCATGCTGTTGACCACGCCAATCGACTCCACAAACAAAATTCATATAATCTGGGCGACGGATTCATCTGAAATACAAGCGGCCATTTGAAATTTCTACATAGTTCTCGCATTCTTTATGCTTTTTTCTTTACACAGCGCCAAGGAAGCTTGCAAAGAGAAAAAATGCCACCGTTTAGAATTTTTTGTGGAAACTTACTCGAAACTTGAATTTTTCTCTAGAGGATAATGCTCTTGACTGACTTGGCAGAGTCTTGTTCAAGAACTTCTGGGTAAGCATGACTTTGGCATTCCCTGAGAAGATAGAGAAGTCAATTTGCATTTTTCATGAGATCGAGCAAGTGCATGTATTCGTCGCCCAGTTGCCTTGCGATTGCGACTCTCCCATGCCAGTTGAAGCGCGAGGTTGACAGGTTTAAGCTCTGTTCCGTCCACGATACCCCAACAATCCTTGGCAAGTAGGATCAGTTACACCACCATATTGCATCTTTCAAAGGTTGTTCCCATGAATTCTGATTCTGGATGCGCAGGAGGTGGGGGAGGAGGAGGAGGGTAGAAGAAGATGTGGCCATTGTTTAGAGACTAGAGTGGAATCTAGTAAGGAGGTGGAGAAGGGGATGAGTCATTCCTAGGGATAGATTGGCTCCATCCTGCGCAGATGTTAGAGTAGCGAGGGCATCACTGCGTTCGTTCCCTCCTTTTGCACTCCTGGGTTCCGTGTTCCACTCTCGCAAGTGTTGCGAGTGCTTGCGCCCTCTCACCTTCATCGGTCCGTATTCTCTGATGCTAGTGGGGATTGGCCATTGGAACCAGATACCATGTAGAATTTAACTCATAGCATGTCAGTTATATATTTATATATCTCTCGCTATGTCTCTTGACGTTTGGCTGAAGTGGCATTCGTGTTTTTCCACAGCTTCCATCCCTCAGCTTTGATCTCTATCTTTGCAACCTCCTTATTCTCAATATGTATGGAAGGTGTGGCAGCATTTTAGGTGCCCAGGCGATATTAAGTCCATCACAAATTCCAATAATTTCTCCTGGAACATCATCTTTGGTGTACATGCCCAGAATGGGCATTTGTAGCAAGCCAAGAACACCTTCGAATCTTAGAATGCCAGATTCAAATGTGGTGCATGGCAACAGCATAGGCGAGCCAATGAGATGTCGCCTCAAAAGGACATTGCCTGTTGGAATGGAATGATGCATGCCTATCTCTTAGGCTGGTGAAGTTGATGTTGACACCATTCCAAATATGATAACTTTCAATGTGATAATTGTCATGTATTTAAAATGGGATTTCTTGATCTTGCTAAGATTTTGCTTTATTCGTTGTCATAGCATTATTTGGCAAGCAACATTACTTTCCACCTCCTAACATCTTGAATTATATTGAAATATTTTTGGAAGCATGAGAGATCGAGTGACATGGGCTAAAGTTCTCAATGGAGTTCACTCCAAGTAGCTTCATAGCTGCACAATCTTGGTTGCCAAAGACCAGCTTTATTTTTGACTCAAAGCTGATAAGTTACCTAAACTCTTTAGAGGATGAATCCTTGCAAGAGGTATTCAAGAATATTCTGATTAGTACACAAAAATAAGTTTTCTAGAATATTTTGAAAAAGTGTTATAATCATGAATAAAATTATTTTGTATTTGTTGTTTGTTATTAAGATTTTTAATGAGATAAGATATTTTACAAGTGAAATTTTATGTATTATATTTATTTCCTAGAAAGTTGAGATTTTTTTAAAAACTTTTTTCTATCTAAAGTCAATAGCACATTGCAATTGAAAAAGAAAATTATTTTATTATGTATGAAATGACCTAAATTTATAATCTTTTTCCCATTAATACATACATTGAATATCTCAAGAGAGTCATACAACTTTTACATTAGTACCTGAATAAATATAAAATTTTGCTATAAAAACTGAGTTAATTGATTGTTAGAGATAAAATTCATTGTATTTTTGTTAGTGATAATTTGAATTGTTAATGCAAGCGCCTCATGTAGTTAAATTGATTGATGAAGATTCATATGAGTACAAAGCTTTTACATATTTCCCATACCATCTCATTGTCATGCCAGACCAGCATTATCTTATAGATATTCTCAGTCATAGTATAGAGCTCTCACTATACTTTTAAGGTGTTATATGATAATTGTAACCTAAAACTTTATTCTTAAGGTTTCAACTATGGTTATGTGGGAAATAGTTTACTAGAACTTTTTGGACTTTTAGACTTTTATTGAAAGTGCTTGAGTTGCTCTTGACTTTGTCCATGGAAATTCTAGCTCATCATACTCATGCTTTTGAGTTAATCATGGATTTCTATCTGTGATTAAGTTTAGCTAACTTTGGCCAAGGATACTTTAACTTATCTTACTCATGCTTTTGAGTTAGTTGTGGATTTCAATCCATGATTAAGTTAGGCCTTACACCACTTTAGTTTAGGGGGAATGATGTCATATGTATTTACTAAGGATTATATTTACTATTGTTATAGTAGAAATTGAACCCTAAACCTCTAAAACATGACATATTAAGTTTTTGAATTAACTTGGATTGGACCAAATTAATTTTCAAAACCCTTATTTATTATTGTTATTGTTATTATTGTTTTAGTAATTTATTAATATGTCTTCCCTCCTCTTGAATATTAACTCTTGATAAACATACCATTGTGGAGCTTGTTGTCAATGATATCAAAGCCCCCTCCACTACCACCCTCAGTTGCTAACCACCTTCTTTCATTTAAAATTTTTTGGTGATACAAACTCTGAATTTTCCTCCAAATTTGGTATATGAATCAGTGGTTAAAAATACTTTTTGGTACATTTTTTTATCCAGAAGGGTAGGAGATTTTATATTTCATGTGTACCACCAAAAGCCTCTAGTAGCAGCTTGCCACAAGTAAATTTCTACTCAAACGCTTTGCAAAGAAGTTTGCAAGGAGAACAAATGCCACTGGAGCTTGCCATCAGTGACATCAAGCCATGCCACTGCCACCGTCACATTCTTTCACTTTGAATTTATTTAGTGGAAACTTCTCTACTCCAAACTTGAATTTTCCTCCAGACTTGGCATATGGACCGATGCTGCTACTAAAGTCATGGCAATTACGTATGATTATACTATTAATCATCTGAAATCAACGTTGGTAGTCTGCATGCATACATGGGTACTAATCAGATCAAGTTTGAATTATTCAGGTCTCAAAGTTTAGTCTGAAATGCTAAGATAGAATCTTCAAATCTAAAGATGAAAATTATGCCACAGTACTTTGCATCGGGACTTCGCATATAATAGAACCTTGTCGTGGGGGCCAAACCGCCTGGTCGAAGAGTCCGATTTCTAAAAGCCCGAGTATTTTCAAGCTATTATCAAGGAAACGATGAGACTTTGCCCTCCAGCACTCCTCCTCCCTCGCAGCTCTGGCAAGATCGGTGGCTATGACATCCCCAAAGGTTTATCAATGCTTTCCATGGGACGCGACCCAAGAACACCCCACGAAGTTTATGCCCGACAGATTCTTTAGAAGCTCGACGGACATCAAGGGCCAGCATTTCGAGCTCATGCCATTTGGGATGCCACAGTTAATACTCTTTGCGAAAGGAGCGAAAGGTTTATACTCTTTGCTACTCAAGAGTCGATGGCAATTCCAAGGCACTCCTTGGATGTGTGTAAGACCTTTTAAAACTACTATATATATTTTGATGAGATTTATTTGCCATGGCTACGATTCTTCCAAAATCTTTGAAGCCGGGATACTCGGACGATCGCGCAAGGGAGCAAAACTACTTTGCCAGTCTTCTCAAAGATTGCACAGGCTCAAGAAATCTCCAGCAAGGCAGGCAAATTCACGCTCGAATTCTAGAGCTTCCATCTCTCGGCTCTGATCTCTACCTTTGCAACCTCCTCGTTCTCATGTATGGAAGGTGTGGCAGCATTGCAGATGCCCAGGCGGTGTTTGAGTCCATCGCTAATCCCAATGATTTCTCCTGGAACATCTTGTTTGGTGTATATGCCCACAATGGGCGTTTGCAGCAAGCCAAGAACACCTTCGATAGAATGCCAAATCCAAATGTGGTCTCTTTCAACTCCATGGCCGCGGCATACGCCCAAAACGGCGAGCTAGATCGAGCCAAAGAGATGTTCGATGCAACGCCTCGAAAGGACACTGCCTCTTGGAATGGAATGATGCATGCCTTCTCTCAGGCTGGACAGGTCGACGCTGCGAGAGAGATTTTTGACACCATGCCTCACAAAGACGTCGTGTCGTGGTCGTGTGTTATTTCAGCATATGCCCAAACCGGGCATCTTGAAGAAGCCGAGTCCTTGTTTTTGAGAATGCCAAATCCAAATGTGATAACTTTCAACGCAATGATAGTCGCGTATTCACAAGCTGCATTGTTCGATCGTGCGAAAAGTCTGTTTGATTCAATGCCGGAGCGGGATTTGGTGACATGGGCAACGTTGCTCTCCACATATGCCCAAAAGAAAGACCTCCAAAACGCGGAGTTCTTGTTCAAAAGCATGCCGAGACACGACATTCTGTCAATGAACGTGATGATCAATGCTTACGTTCTTAATGGTCAACTTGAGAAGTCCATCTCTACTTTTAAATCTATGCGCTACAAAGATGTTGTTTCATGGACGTCTGCTCTTTCCGCATATGCCCAAGCAGGTCATGTTGGCGACGCAAAGTTGCTCTTTGACAAGATGCCGGAATGGAACGTTGTCTCATGCACGACCTTGATCTCACTATTTGCGCTCAAACAAAGGCTAGAAGACGCTACAGTCTTGCTTGACTCAATGCCTGAGCACGACGTCATTGTATGGAACGCAATTTGTGCAGAATATGCCAACAATGGGCATCTTGAGGAATCCAAGAAGGTGTTTGATTCCATGCCATACAAGAACTTGGAATCCCTCCACGCACTGATGGCCGCTTACGTGCACAACATGAAACTTAACGAGGCTAGACAGCTCCTCGATTCCATGCAAGTCCGAGATATAGTTTCCTGGAACACTCTCGTCGCTGCTTATGCCCAAAACGGTCAAATGGATCGAGCAAGCGGGCTCTTTCGAGGTCTCCCTCAAACCGACGTGGGAACCTGGAGTTCTATGATCGCTGGGCATGCAAAGGCTGGCCATGGCGAGAAGGCCGTCCAAGTTTTGAGTGAGATGGTCATGGAAGCCGTAGCACCCGACGAGCTAACTTTCGCGAGCGTTTTAGCAGCTTGCAGCCATGGAGGGCTGCTCGAGCAAGGCACACGCTACTTCCTTTTGATGAGCTCGGACCTCGGGATCAAGCCGCTGGTGGAGCACTTCTCGGCGATGGTGGACATTTACAGCCGAGTCGGGCTGCTCAAGTTTGCCGAGGAGCTGATTGAGACGATGCCGTTTGTGCCGCAGCCGGAGACTTATCGAGCTCTGATGAGTGCCTGCGAGACCCAGAAGAATTCGTCGCTGGGGTCTCGAGCTGCCGAAAAGGTTGTTGCTTTGGATCCTGCTAAGTCGACATCGTATATAATGCTTTCGAATATGTACAGGGACAAACTTACTAGTTAGTAGACCTGCGCACTGCAAAGGAAGAAAGAAATTAAGGGGAGAAGAAAAGCTTAATACCTTGCTTACCAGCAATCTCACGAGCATGGCTTTGCCTTTTCACTGCGTGGTTTTTGAGAATTTCTTTCTTGATGTCGGCCGAGAGCTTGTAGCTCACAAGGCGGATAATGGGAGCCCAGAAAGCCTCGAGCAGTGTCCTGGCGAAGCTCGCGGGAGCAAGCATCCCGCGAGTGAGCACCACCAGCGGGAAAAACGACTTCGGTGCCACGAGAAACGAGCCTTTCTTGACAGCATCGAGCGTGACCTCCGCGAGCTTATCGGGTGACTGCATCGTCTTGGGATCATATCGATTGAGTATCTTGAGCATTGTTTCAAACTCGCCATCCTTGTCCACTGCAAAAAGTGTAGACTGTCACGGCTAGAAATCTTTCAAGTGTAAGTACCTTGATCTATAAGAGCAGTGTCGACAAAGCCAGGACAGACGAGATTGACATTGATGTTATACGGCAAAAGCTCGAGATGGAGACACTCTGCTAATCCTCGTAGAGCATGCTTGGTTGCACTGTACACTGAGCTCCCGTACAAAAGGAACTGGAGAAAAGATCAACACAAGATATAAAGAGAGATTCCTATAGAGTGAAGTATACCAGTCCTGCTCCGGAGCTGACGATCACAATCGAGTGCTTCTTTTCGCTTGCGAGCGGCTTCATGAGTGGAAGCGCGGTGTGGACTGTATGAATCACTCCCATCAAGTTCGTCTGGACTTGACCTGCATGAACTTCCACCGGGACTTCGTCAAAGTATCCAGCCTTAGTGTACCCCGCGTTGCAAACCAGGACGTCGATTGGTTTCCACGAGTGAGCCTCGCTCACGGCGGAGGATATCGCGTTAAAATCGCCAACGTCGGCCACCTGATAAAAGTAGGATAACTCCAAGTAAGAACTTGGAAAAATTCCAATCAAGTAAGAACGAATAAAGAAAGCAATCCAAAGGACGAACAGAAGAAAACAAGACGAAAGAAACAAGAAACAAAGAGCAAAACAGCAAAACAAAAAGCTATCAGAACGATGGACGATCAAGGCAGAAAGAGATGTATGTATACATACCAAAACTTTGATGCTATGGCTGTCGCAGTGCGCTTCACTCACAAGAGATTGAGCCGCCTTGTCGAGCTTGAGCTGGTTTCTGGCCGAGATGGTAACAAATGCCCCTTGGAGGAGGGCCTGCTTGGCAATGGCGAGCCCAATGCCGCTGGAAGCTCCTGTGATAAAGACGTGCTTGCCCGCCAGCGATGGGATAGCCAGTTTCTTCCTCCTGCCAAATGTAAGAAATGCAAACGCCACCGCCGCTGCCGCTGCCGCTCCCGCCGCCACTAGCCCCGCCATTGCTCCCGCGCTAGGGCTCACATCAATTCGATTTGGGGTTTATCTTTACTTTACTGCTACACTCTTTTGATTTTGATAAAATTGATAATTCTTGATCTTTTCGTTAAATAAAAGAATACTAATTGCTATGGAAGTTGGCCCCTATTGTGTCTTGTTCTAGAACCCAGAATTATTGGGTTTGTCTTTTTTTTACTATAGCATTATTTTTAAAAGTTGTAATAACTAAGCATATCCTATTTTAATGCTATTTAAAAAGCCTTTATAAAGCAGATATAAACCATTTCATACTTAAAGAATGACAGAGTTTGTTGTAGTTGTTTTCCTTTATTCATTTTTACTATATTTTCTTTTAGTTGGTGGGTATTTGCCAAGTGAAGCAACTCAAGATTGTATATCAATTGGTACACAAGATCCACCTTCTCCCCAAGCATATTGTCATGTAACAAATCTGTGTAAAGTTAGGTACTTTAATAATTTTTGGGAAAATGGAGAATATACTGCCTCGGGAGGAGGAATTTATGTCACAATTACTGTTAATAGAATGTATAGTAGGGCATCAATTCAACAAGATATAGAACAAGCTTTTAATTTTATATGGATTAGATGTATATCAGTGCTACGTCAAATGGGTGGTTTTGTTTATTTGAATGATGGAAGTTTATCAGTTAATGTTCAGATTGCACGAAGAAGAGAGTTATTAAAAGATCTTGATAGAATTAAAATAACAAAAGAATGTTCATCTTTATAAATACCATTAATATTATAAAAAAATTATTATTTATAAATTTAAAATAAAAATTAATAAAAGAATATAATCCAGAGTGTAGTATTTAAAACATATAATATAACAGATATTAAAACTATGATTATGATACATGACTTATGACATAAAATGAAACAAACACAATATTAAGTGGTAGTATAGTTTGAAAAACAAAATATTTCCAAAATATTTTTTGAAATAAGATAGTTAGAGATATTATAATTAAATTCATTAGTTTCAAAATAATTTACTATAGTTTCCTAGCAGCAATATCTGGTCTTCTTGGGGTTAGTTTCCAAGAAAAATAGTTAGAGAGGAGGAATTTAAAAAACTACTCTTAAATCTTATAAGTTTTGATATGATAGTTTGATGATGATTAAACTTATACATATAAGGTAATAATTTGTTGCACATTACATGCTTTTAAGAATGTCATTGAAGTTATAATTAAAACTTGAAAACACTTTTTTCACATCATCCTCAATTTCCCATATAACCTCGTCCATAGAATAACCATTCCACCAAACCAACAACTCCCAAATTGTCTTGCAATTTGTTTCACCAACCTTTAAAAAAAAAATTTGGTTAGATAAACTTTATTAGTATTAATCTTTGGGACCTAAAATTCACAACATCACTAGAGTACAAACATGTTTTAAACTTGCTTACATAAAATGTTGCATATGCAACAAAATTGTAGATAATACAATATAATATTGTAGAGACAATTTAGCACTACCCTTTTAGATATTGTTATGCATTTAATAGTTTAAGGAAAATTTTGTCACCAACTTTATATTTCTCATAATTATGATGTGCATTAGCCAATTTCTTGTTTCATTCTTGAACTTGTCTTATGTTCAACTTTGCCACTTTCATATCCTCAAAAAAATCACAAGTATGAGGCACTTAAACTAAAGATAAAATTAAACTCATGAGAGACTTGGGCTTATAGCTATACATGACCATGAATAGAAACACGTAAATATCCAATTGATGAGTGTTATTATGAGCAATCTAAAGTCAAGGCAAATGATTCTCCCATACTCTTAATATCGAGTCAAGTTTTCCATAAAAGATTTTAGCATATATTCCAATAGCTAGTTTATAATTTTTATTTGTCCATTTGATTATGGATGTTTGCCACTAATTATACTCAGCTTATCTCTAACTTCTCAAAAATCATTTGCCAAAACTTATCCTCTCCCTTTAACCTATTTGGAAAGGGGGCAATTATTTAATGTGAGATATTTTAATGGCTATTTAATCCTTATATATCTTCTATACTTCCAAGAATTCACAACAACAATATATCTAAACTTCATCCCATGATCACATGTGTTACATTTAGTCAAAATGTTATGATGATATATTAAGGGCAGCTTTTAGGGGTCTGAATGTGGTTGTTATACTAAACCATACGTTGGTCTTATTCATAAAATTCTTATATAAATTTATAAAAAAATTATTATATGTCAAGAATTAATACTGATAAAATTAAAATTAAAAAAACAAAAAAAAAGTACAAATACATGTTTAGTTTTCAATATATATCTTTATATATCTTTGTCTCATTCAATATTGGATGTTTTCTATAATTTATTGCTTCTTAACTATGAATTTATCAAAACTAAATACAAGTTTTAACTGTTTCAATTGTCCATACCATTGTTTTTGTAGAACTTTAAATGCTTTTATTTATAGCATCACTACAACATTTTTTAATTAATTTAAAATCTCATAATGCTTATATTACCTTCTTCTCTACTGAAATACTACATCATCATAACCATCATGTGAATAATCACCATCAAATGCCCAATTTTCCCATCCATACCAACCTTTAGTTTTAAAATGACCATTACCAATAAATGATACACCATCAAATGGTACATTATTTATTATTTTAGAGCACTTTTCTGCTGATAGTGTATCATAATCAAAGTAAGCAAATTCATTACCTTTTCTCCATAAAATAACATTTGCTTTATAAACATTACAATTTGCAAGAGCAAATTTCATATCTGGAGCCCAATTAAAATTATCTTTTCCTTCAATGATTGTTACTGTATAAAGAAGTTATTAATTAAGGATTAAGTTCAAAATATTATACTTACACTGATATATATTAAATAAAAATAAAAGATAGAACCAGGTATTAAAACCCATGAATAAAAAATATAGTAATAATATATAACTAGCTTAGTAATTTCAAGATATTTAATGTAATTTTAGGTATAAATTTATCTTTAAATAATATAAAGCTGACAATAATTACTAATACTTCCAAAAAGAATTATTTTGTTCAATAATTATAAATTTCGTCTATACTTGACATGTCAAATTTGTATTTTTTGTCACTCTAAAACAATAGTAGGCATACTACATGCCTAAAATTGTGTTAACATTTGTAATATGTTAGCAAAATACAAATGAATGATGTTTTTTGGTTTGCTTAAGCAACGCTATAGAGGAAGTGGGGTGGTACTGGATATACCTAGAATATTAAACACTTTCTAAACACTTTCTAGTATATTCTAGTATTCTACCATCTTGATATTAGATTAATCTTGTGTTTATAAATTATAAACATGTTTATAATTATAAAATTCTGATCAATTGGATTAATAAATAGGAATAACACTACTATTAAGCAAACCAAGCATTACTGCATGCAACACATAAAAAATTATTATAATTTATTACAATTCTGAGCTTATGTATTTTAAGATGTCTCAATAATTATTATATTATATAATTATAGTTTCGAATGGATTATCTGTGAGAAATAATATGTTACTCTTTTTTAATTTAAATTCCGCTCTAATATATGTTTACTAATAACTCTCACTCCCAAAATTAAAGTAATACATGATTTCTATACTACAATTCTCATTAGATGGCAAATAAACTTCATAATAATCAATGATGCTCACTTTGATGTTTTGTGTAGAGTCATATGGATATACCATAGTATATCCATATCTTCCCAAAGCAAAAACTCCTATCACTTAAGACTAATCTAGTACTATAAGCCGAACTTTGTGGGCTGCCGGATCTGGCCAATCGGTGCCATCAGATGCAGGGTAAACTGGTAAATATCGGTTTCTTACTGCACATCCTTTTGAAATATTTTTGTGAGGTTTTGGGCCGGCCAGTGGGCATGCGGCACGGCCCCGGCTGGGGGAGGAGGTGTGAGCGACACCCGTCTGCTTGCCTGGTAAAGCTCTCTTTTTTTCACCACGGCTCCTCCCAGCCACGGGGTTTCCAGGGGAAGCGGGAGAGGGGGCACTGCTGCCCAGCAGCGACAAGGACAGGGGATCACTCAGCGATACTGCATTCCCTTTTCCAATGGAAGGAGCCCAAATCGTCAGAGCAGGATTTTGGCGACGAGCAGCTGCAAAGGCGTGGCCGGAGGCATCGACAGGGAAGCAGTGGCTAGGGATTTTGCTGGAATGGATGGCGAGCAAGGGCGTGGCAGAGCCTGGGGGTGTGGATGTGAGGCACGGGAATTCCTATTTTTGATCCAGCAGAGGATTCGCTTTCATCACGTACAAAAGTGTTGACGACCCGAGGAAAGCCATAGATGATCCCAACAAGACAACAGTGGTAAGCTTACCCAAACATACCATGGTTTTTGCTGACGAGTCTATTCTTCCAGGGAATGCACATAATTGTAAAGTGAGCGGCAGATGGTTGGCTCCAGAGCGCGTGACGAGCAAGTGCTACATCATTGGAGTGGCTTTCTCCGGTGGTGATCGTGAAGACTGAGGAGAGCTTTCTCCACGGCGCACTCAGCAGCGATGGACTGGTGGATATGGCTGCCAAACTCGCCGAGGGAGTGAGCAGGATGGACAGACGCTTCATGGTGATGGAGTTTCATTGGCAATCCTCACAACTTCATTACGTCTTGGGGTCCATGAAGCTGGAAAAGAAGAAGAGTGGAAATTCGCTACTCCATGCATACGATGTTAACAAGAGCTTGGAAGACTTCCAATGCTTGGAGATGATCACAAGAGAGTTTGGAAGTTTTCAGAAGATCACAAGAGCTTCGAAGTTTTCTTTTTGCTACTGGATGATTTGATCAACCAAGAACTCTCTATTTTTACAGTTCATGCAGAAAAGTTTTTGATCTTTGGGAAAGATTCCACTCGCTGAAAACGCACTGAAAAAGTCCTCATTATAATGTAACGTGGGAGGAATGATGAGCTGGATCCAACAGCCAGTGAGGCTCCACGTTCCCGGCATTCATACCGGGGCTAGGGTTTTC